ATTAATAACTTTTGTGTGTGTGTGTGTGTGTGAGCAAAGCAAGATTAGAATTATCTGTGTCCAAAACCAAATCAACTTTGAAAAATAAGTCATAAAATGAACAACTTAAAATATCAGCTCTCACAATCAGTCAAGTATATGAAAAGTAGTTCTAAACTTTTTTATTGACTCAACTTGAAAGCACAGCATTAGCTATTAGAAAGTCCAATGCTTTTTCTTCTCTTTTCTTTTCTATTTTACTGATTTTGACCATTGTCCCCTTCAGTAATAATTTTCTGGTGAGCAACATTAACAATGAACTGTTATAAAACCTGTAGTTCTGACCATGAGCTACTACAACACATGAAGATATGCACTGGCAACTCTGCATAATTATTCACATAGTGATTCCAAGTTAGATGAACAAGATAATAAATTTTGTTATAAAAAATGATAGAATAATCTTACAAATAAACATACAATTAAATATGTCAATAGCAGAAACAACTGACATATTGTTTTTGTTTAAATAACTGTGATTTTTCTAGTTTGTTAATAATGTATGTATTGTAAACAGTATTGCCTTTGAGAGTCTGGGACTCTACATGCATTATGGGGCTTTCACTCTTCCATAATTCCTATGCTTGCATGTTAACCTGATTTAACTGCATTCATATTATTCAAATGTCCCAAGTGTATCTGAAAAATCTCTGAAATGTTATATTCCATTCCTTTTTCTCCCTTATGTCAGTGGTTGTTTTATTAGATGTAGACAGCTGGGATAGCATATGTTTCTTTAACAGAAACCTTTAAAAATTTAAAATTTGGAGAGCATACTTTTAAAATCCACAAGGGTGAATTTTATTTCTTATGAGACTTATGAGATATAGCTAGAAGGATTCAAACATCAACATGTAAGAAATCTCGCTCTGCACTTGAAGGTACACTGCACCAGGAGCTAAGTCCAGAGATGTTTTCATTAACTTTTGACGCACTTTTTTTTTTATAAATCATTCAAATTAATGGTATTGTAATTCTTCATTTATAAATCAAAGTTAATATTGCTTGTCCTGTCACCTCACAGTACATTTTTTAAGACCGCAAGAAGTGATGAAAGAAAAAGCACAGTGAAAATGGTGGGAACCAGAAGATGGGAGAGAAAGTAGTGTTTATTGGGCATCCGTTGTGTTCTGGGCATGATGCCAAGCACGTCACATACATTTTCCATTTAATCCTCACAATCTTCTCAGTAGAATGGATATATTATCTCTATTTTAAGGAAAAGATACTAAGGCTCTAAAAAAAATTAAGTAGTTTGCTTACGGCCAAATAATAAATTGTGGAGTCTTGCTTAGCAAATTCTGTTGATTTCCCTTTGTGTGATTTTGTGTGTTGATTTCCAAATGTGTCCAGATTCTAACTAACTACTTCTCCCCACCTCCACTATCACCACCTAGCATAAGCTACTGGCAACTCTTGCCTGGGCTATTGCAATTGTTAAACTTTTATCTTATGTTTGCCCTTGTCTCCCTACAATCCATTCTTAATACATAAGTGGAAGCCTTATCAAATGTGTTAGATCATTCACAGGTCTCCTGAAAACCCTCAAATAACTTCCTTCATTCAGAATAAAAGCCAAGGTCCTTAGTATATCACAGAGCCACTGCATTATCTAGGTTTCTATCTCCTGTTATTTCTTTGAGTTTTATTTGTCATCATTCTGTTCTTTGCAGGCTGTGTTGCAGCCACACTGACCAGCTGGCTCCCCATACCATGCTTCAAATGTTTCAGGCATGCTCCTTCTTGGGGTGTTTGCTTGGGACTGTTCTTTCTAACAAAAATGCTCTGGTCCCAGATGTGCTCACATATACACTCTTCATCTCTTTCAAATCTTTGCTCAATTGTCAACCTTCTCAATGAAACTTTATCTAAATTGTATCATACCCACCCTCTGAACTCCTTCTCCCCTGCTTTATGTTTTTCCTTTACCATCTGCCACACAGAAAAAAATTTTATTTACTGACAGTTTCTCCCATTTCCTCACTAGCAGATAAGTGTCATAAGAGTAGGTTCTCAGGTTGTTAGTACACTGCAGAATCCATCTGGCAGTGGCCCACAATTGAGCTCCTTTTCTGTAACTGTCCTTGGCCAAAGGGGGTGTGCCTCACCGAGGTAAGTACCTCCCCTGGGGGAAGCCACCACTCAGTGACTGGAAGATGAAAGTATGAAGGCCCCAGCCCCTTTGCCGCAATCCAAGACATCTCTGAAGGCCAATGGATCTCAAGAGCCCTCAGGAAACAGGACGAGGTCTTTTTTGCATATGTGTTATGATTCAGCTTCTCCCTCTGCCACTCTGCTTCCTTTACTTCCCTCCCCAGTTGTTCCTGAGAGCATGCTCCAGTAAACTTCCTGCAAGCAAATCTCCATCTCAGATCTCGTTTCCTGGGGAATCCAATCTATGCTCCAGCATCTACAAAAAGCATGGCATACAGTGGGTGCTTCAATAAATACCTTTTGAACAAACGGATGAATAGATAAGATAAAATAGGATAGAATAGAGCAGAATTAAGAATATTTTTTTCTGAAGTCAAAAAGACTGTTAATTCCTGTGACTTAAACAATTTATTAATACTTAAAATGATCCATGAAAGAGATTATAATAGTACCTTTGTTAGATAATCTTTTAGGATTAAATGAGATAAATCATATAAAGCCCCCATCATAGAGCTTGGAAATTATATTCTTAATAGAAGCTATTAAAAGTAATTATTATTACTATATGTGCAAGAAATACAGTCAATTTTCCCGAACAAGATTTCTTTCTTTCTTGTAGCTTAGTGCGAATCTATTACCAGGTGAGAATAAGGAGAAGAAAGTAAATGAAGACACTTTTTTCATCATCCCAAGGAAATATATATGTGAGGAGTAAAAGTGAGAAGAATAAAAATAGTCATAGTGCACACAGGTTAAATAGACTAAATAAAACTGCAGTCACAGACATCTAGATCAGAAAAATAATGAAATATAGCAATAAGCATTATAATTCTGAGAGAGTGCTTAAAAGAGCAACTAGTCTAGCCCTGTTTCTAGGCTGAACTTATGCCATTCAAAGCAGTTTGTCATCTAAATGATTCTAATACATATGAATGTGAAATATTTCATGATCTCCCACTGAAGTTTGTTCCAGTGTTTAATCTCTTGGTACCATCAGGAGATTCTCCTTCAAATAACTTTTATACTATTTCTAGAATTTCAATCTATTTCATACAGCTTTGGCCACCATACTAATATAGGACTACTGACCTTTGTCCTTTGAGCCTGCCTTTAAGTACTTTAATTAATCAAAAAGTTTTTTATTGTTCCTTGTGCCAAGTTTTGGGCTGGGCATGATGACAAGTTTTAATTCAGGATCCTCCTTGCTATTCTCTGACCTTCTTGGAGTCTTGGAGTCCCTTTCATCTTTTCTAATAGTTTTATTTTCATTTTTGTTGATCTTCTTTGAATGAGCTCCAATTTCTCTACAACTTTAATAAATACTTCAGGAAAGGCTTGATTATTGCCAAATATGGGAGAAAGATTACTATTCATGATAAGCTAGTCATACTTCTATTAATATATTTCAGCATAATGTTTGCTTTTTAAATAATTGTTTTATGCTGCTGACTCATCCAATTTGTATTATATGATGAGTTTAAATCATTTTTCTCCTCAGTACTTGAGTACACCAAAATCTTTCCTTTCTTAAATTAATAGAATTTGTACTTTGTTCCTCACTGTAATCTTTTATTTAAATTTATTAAATTTAGTCCTAATTTTTTAAGTTGCTTTAAACATATTTAAGTTGAATTATCATCCTTTGTTAAGTAAGCAATTTTCCTACATATTTCCTCATTCAGTTCAGTTAAATTCAACCCAATATTTGCCACCTGTTATGAACCAGGCATTGTGCTAGATATTAAGGCTACAAAATGGTAAATACAGGCCTTTTCAAGAAGTTTTCCACTGGGCCCAGTGGTCTCACGCCTGTAATCCTAGCATTCTGGGAGGCTGAGGTGGGAGGATCACTTGAGCTCAGGAGTTAGAGACCTGCCTGGGCGAGAGGGAGAATCCATTTCTACTAAAAATAGAAAAAATTAGCTGAGCTCTGTGTTGTGCACATGTAGTCCCAGCTACTCGAGTGGCTAAGGCAGGAGGATCACTTGAGCCCTGAGGTTTGAGGTTGCTGTGAGCTAGGCTAACACCACAGTACTCTAGCCGGGGCAACAGAGTGAGACTCTGAATCCAAAATAAAGAAGTTCTCAATATAGAAGTGGCAGAAAATATGTTAAAGTCCAAGTGTGAAGACAGAGAAATGCCTACATTCTAAAGGAGGTACCTTGGTCAGCCTGGAGGTATGTTTCCTGGTGGAGATGATGTTAACTGAGCTTTAAAGGTTGAACAGAAATTAAGCAAGGAAGAAGAAAGGAGGACAGATAGCATTCTAGGCAGAGGGAGGTATGCAACGAAACATTTAGAGTCTTGTAACGGTAAATATATGTGGAAACGACGAAGAGCTTCTTATCACTAGTGTAAAATGCAAGCTGAAAAATCAGGGAAAACTTAATAAATATCATTTCAACCTCAATAAGAAACTCATAGGCCGGGCGCGGTGGCTCACGCCTGTAATCCTAGCACTCTGGGAGGCCGAGGCGGGCGGATTGCTCAAGGTCAGGAGTTCAAAACCATCCTGAGCAAGAGTGAGACCCCGTCTCTACTATAAATAGAAACAAATTAATTGGCCAACTAATATATATAGAAAAAATTAGCCGGGCATGGTGGCGCATGCCTGTAGTCCCAGCTACTTGGGAGGCTGAGGCAGGAGGATTGCTTGAGCCCAGGAGTTAGTTTGAGGTTGCTGTGAGCTAGGCTGACGCCACGGCACTCACTCTAGCCTGGGCAACAAAGCGAGACTCTGTCTCAAAAAAAAAAAAAAAAAAAAGAAACTCATAAAATATATAATCTCTCGGTATCTGGTGGTTGAATAGTCCTTAGCCCAATCAATCTTCATATTCACAAATTTTATATTTTTTGAGTTCATCTGTATGCTAAAACTTATTTGTTTTCCCCAAATCAATACTGCCAGCACCTTTGTGGTCATTTATAGACATGCATAGAATGGTGAAAAATTTGATTGCCCAACTTGTACATTTCCATAAGAGATCATGCCAGGTGATGTTTCACCTTTATATTTTAGCTCTCTTACTGTAAACAAGTATATCTTTTAAAGTCTATTTTGTGCAATTTTTTTTTTTGCATTTTCATACTTTTTATTGGTGATCTCATTGCTTAAAATGGCCCCAACATGTAGTGCTAAAGTGCTGTTGAGTGTTCCTAAGCATAAGAAGGCAGTAATGTGCTGTCTGGAGAAACTGTGTATGTTAGATAAGTTTCCTTTGGGAACGACTTATAATGCCATGAGTGTGAGTTTATTCTTAATGAATCAACAATATATATTAAATAAGATGTCTTTGAACAGAAACATATGCAAAACAAGGTTATGTATTGATTAGTTGCCAAAAATATTGTGACCAGAGGCTTGCGGAAATCTAATTCTGTATTTTCCCTAGGAGGAATGGTTCAGCATTTGCTAATTCAGTTTTTGGTAACTTTATAGAAAATAACTACCATGAATAATGAGAATCAATTATATTGATTATATTACATTGTATATTGCTCAATATCCAGCTGGTCAAGAAAAAAGCAATTAAAAAGGCCAAACTAACAAGAAGTGAGCTGTATCTCCAAACAAAAGCATGGCAGTGCCTTAAACTTCTACATTTCATCAATATGAGAAGTAGTTGCAGATGTTAGATATCTCATCTAGTGATTTAAATGCATTGTCAGTATTGCCAAACCATTCTTAGTTTGCCCATTGGAGCCAATGAAATTCTGGGGTGAAAGTTTTTATTTGTCTTGAATCTGTGCTGACTATATACAATTCAACTAAATTGGACATACTTTGCATTTATAGACCTTCAGTGAGTCTTTATTGATGGTGCACATAATGATGGTGATGTTGATGATGAAAGGCAACAAGGTGCCTGAGCAAATGTTGCATGTTCACTTAAAATGGACCAGCTGCACCTTAGCTGGGAAAGTATGTGCTTTGAGGGTGTGTCCAATGGAATTAAATCAATCTGATGCTTAATGATATGGTTCTGCATTTCATGGCTCTCTGCTATTAATAATATCAATTATGGACAGCACAGCCTCTGCCCACAAAAAGTTTACGCTCTAGTGAATTTTTGAGGTTAAGACAATTATTTACCATGATGTTAATTAAAGTAAGAAACACAGAGAAGGGATTAAAGTACTGTGAAATTTTAATGGTGATTGAAACCATAGCTGGTAACGAGGAGAAGAATATTGGTAAAAAAGCTTCATAGGGGGATGATGTCCCAGATGACCTTAGAAAGAACATACCCAAAGTCAGGAAAACATGAGGCATATTGTTGAATGAAGCAAAAAATCAAGCTTTTAAAGAACAAAAGTTAGTTTTACCCTGAAGTCTAACTGAGAACTGTAGACTGGGGAGCTCTGCCCAGGATGAGCCTTTCAGAGAGATTCTGTCAGGCTCCTCCGACACAGCATTTCAGTTCACAGTTTACGTACAGGTGTGGGTATTCAGTACATGCAAAATCACATTAAACTTGCCCAGAAGTTATATTAAAGCAGAATCACATTGATTTTTGGATGCAAGAATATATCTGGTTATAGATTACAGAAGCATAATCGCTAACCTGGTTAGACACTATCTTACATGTAGGAACAGGCAAGGACTGGGGTTACTTATCTTTTAAGGAATATAGTGACGCAGACAGAAGACATGGGAGGATGTGTACTCTATTCTGTTTTGTCTTCAATGCATCCTTCCAGAGAGCTGCATGTCGCCAGAGTCCAGAGCTTTGTGAAACTATGGTGATAAGCATAAATGATCAAAAATGGCTTTTTACATTTACTACTTTGTCTCACAATATTAAGGGGAGAAAGCATCCAATTTTGTTTGAGGACAGACTTTGTGCAGGCAAGGAAGAGGAATCGGGACTAGAAAAGCAAGTTGCACTTTTAAATGCAATAGGAGGTTTCTGAGCGGGGGACTAAGGCGAGGAATACTCCTATTTAGAAAGTTTCATCCTATGACAGCATGCAGAGGAGGCACATGGAACAATTAAATGGTTCTGGATATAGTTCCCAAGAGAGATGCTGTAGCCTATGAAAGGGTCGTGGCAGCAGAAATAGAAAGGGGGACAGAAATGAAGCCTTACAGAGGTCCCATACATAGGAAGGTAAGACTTTCAGTCCGAGGTATAGATGTATCATTCTTAGACATAGGAAATTCAGGAGAAGCAACTGACTGAGTTCTATTTTATATAAATTGATTTTAAAGTGCCAAGAGAAATTTAAGAGGAAATGTCAAAGTGTGTAGTTGGTAAATTGTGTTTGGATCATGAGAGTGATTGGAATAGGGTTATTAGAAGGACATCTGCTTAAAAAATAATACTAAATCCTACAAAGTAAAAGCAATCAACTATATGTTGTAAGTGTAGATATATGCATATAAAATGTATAACATATATCATACATTATAATATATGTTCAAATGTGCTGTTTAAGTGAATTCTTAGTGTGGATTATATATTAAATAAAAAATAAAATTTACAGGTCAATAGCCATAAAATTTAAAAGAAGGAAAGAACTCTTTAACTTAGAAGTCAGAAAGGAAATAAAATAAAAAATGTACTGCCTTTCCCCAAAAAAATATGAATGGGAAGGATAAAAATGGGCTGGAGGGTGGTAGAAATATTTCTAAAATTCCAAAGAATCTTTCCCTGCTGTTTGCCTTCATTCACTTGCCCATTATTTCATACTTGGATCGGTAGTATAGCATTCTAACTGGCTTTCCTGTCTTCTAGCTCACCCATGCACCATTCAGATGCTGGACTGATCTTTTAAAACTTCAGATGTAACCTTGTGCCCCTCTGCTTAAACACCTCTAGTGGCCCCTCTTTTCTTATAACATTATTAGAGTCCCATCCAATTTCATCCTCACCACCCTGGGCTTCAAGCTTACTCCAGAGCACTTGGCATTTCCCATGTCTACCAATGTTCAAACCTGTGGAAGCTGTCTGGTGTTACTCTTTTTTCCCATAAGCCTACCTCCTACCAAGTACTCCTAACAAAATCTTGTTTAAACCTAAAAGTTCCAGATCATTTTTTCTCCCCTGAGATCCCTTTCTGATCTCCATCCCCTAAGTAGATGTTCAGTCCTGCATTGCCCTAGTAGCCAGCCCAGTATGATGTTGGGTTAATAATTTTAGCTGAATCTCTGTGTTCACAGGAATCTGTCAGAACTGATCCCTTTAAGGGTATTGCATAAAAATTAAAGAAATGGGATAACTGTTCTTGTTTGTTTTTAGCAAAAGTATTAAGACATTTGTAAATTTGAAGTCATATCTATCTTAATATCATCAGAGTATATTTGATTGAAACATGCACTGGGTATATATGAAACCTATCAAAGTGCAACCACAATTTTCGCAATATGTACAACATAAACCTGCTCAGACATGAAGAAATTTATGAAGAATGGCAGCTTCAGTAAATATTTGCTACAAACCAAGATCTTCTTTAATTTTTATTTATAGTGGAAAAGATCATAAAGTATGGTTTTTCAATCAGACATTCTTCATTACATACACAATCAGATTATGAACACTTTCCATAAGGATGTATTTGAATTTAAACAACTATATCTATATTATATTTAGAATAATAATAGTGTTTAGTTTGGTGCTGTTGTGACATGACTCAATATGCAGTTCCAGAAGCACAAATTGCACTTTTATTATTCCTCAATGGATGTGATCCTAAATCCAGTTGGCTAACTGCCTACCAATTGAATTATATAAATTGATAAAAAGGAATTCTATATTAATGAAGACATAGCAGAAGCAAGAGAAATTTTCATAGCTTCAAGCCATTAAAATTTCCTTCCACTTTTGTCCTTTTTAAATAGTTATATGACATCCAGGATGTAGCATCTCACATCAGAATCAAAATGACCTTTCAGACCTACAAAGCAACAGTTTTATGCTCTTGACAAATTATAATGCAAATATATATTAATATAAAAATAGGTAAAACTACTGAAGACAATTTCTACATTGCAGTTTCCAGGAATTTTTCCAAGATATCTTTTGTTGTTTTTATTGTTGTTGTTACAGAACCAGACAAAATTAAATAGATTTGATGATTTGGAGAAATAAGTTTTCCAGAAAAATAAGTTAATTAAAAAATTGGTGAACACCGAATAAATTTTGATAAGCATTATTTCTGCATTAGAAAAATTTCACAGCTTCTGACACTAATAGAAATTCTACTTCATCTTTTGTTCTTGCAAATACTCAAACACCCCCTGCACTTCGGCTCTGTATAAAAGTGTTTCCAGTAATCCCCAGGATAACTACTGTTTATGTGTCACATTGTGTGTCCACCTCAGTTACTTTGTCATTTCAATTATGAAAATAAGTGACTCCAGGTATAACCTTGCTTCTTAAATAACCCATTCTACAGCAATTGCCTCACTTTATTTTTATGCTTTGTGTTCTGTTATGGATTAAAAATACACACTATACTCCCCAGACATTTTTTATACCCTTTTTTTATCATCTATATCTATACTAAAGATACATTAATTATCCTATTTCTTCTCTAATGCCCTTATTTCTTCTGTAATGCTAAATCAGGGAGTCTACTGGATGAAATTTCTCTCTGCTTCCTAATGCTGTTTTTCAGGGCATTAAAAATGTTGTTTTATATATATATATATATGTATCATATATATGAGATAAAGTCTATCCTGTTTTTTTTATATCATTCTTTTGGAATCACTATTGGCACTATCCCCTCACATGTTTCCCTGTAAACCTGTTCACTAAGTGAATTTTGTACATTTTAGCACCCAATTTCCTTAAGCCTACTTAACCCCCATAGAATTGCCTTGTTAGGGCATGATGCTGGAAGTAGCCATTACAAAGTGTACCTTCTCTGAGATCTCCAACTCAGCACCTGTTTCTTCAACCACAGATTACTTTCAATTTAATATTCTCACTCAGCTGCTCTCTAACCTAATAAGAAAACATGCAAGTAAAACACTTAGAATAACAGAATGACAATTACAGGCCTCTGCAGCAGTAATCCCTTACGTTTTCTAACTTTTGGTTCAGTGACTTCAAGATTAGCATAGTCAATGCCCTCACCTTCCTGAACCTTCCAAACCATCTATGTAAATCACAATAAAGGATTCTTTGTATTAACCACTGTTTCAGCTCTTCTAACAAGCTTTCTTAGTCAGGGCTGCTATAACAAATCACCATTGACTGGATGGCTTAAACAATAAATATTAATTTCTCACAGTTTGGGGGCTTAGAAGTCCAAGATCAAGATGTCAGCAGATGCAGTGTCTGGTGAGAGTCCTCCTCCTGGTTTGCAAATTGCTGTCTTTATACTCTGTTCTCACATGGTAGAGAGCTGAGAAAGAAAGAAAGCTCTTTGCTGTCTTTTAATGGCACTAAATCTATCATGAAAGCTCCATTTTCATAATCTAAGTACTTCTCAAAGCCCCCACTTTCCAATACCTTCTTATTAGGGGTTAGGGTTTCAACCAATACAGTTTGGGGAAACACAAACATGCAGTCCATAACATAAGCCCACATCCTTAGAGAAGATCAAAAATAATGGAGAACTAAATAATTACAGATTCTTGCTTTCCATTTTCAACTGGCCATTGCCCACTTCCTGGTACTCTTTTATTCGTGTCTTATTAATTCCCATGTTTCCTGGAGGGCCACTGGAAATTCTCATTTTCGTGACTTCTTCAATCATAAAGTATATAAAGTTGACATTTAGATCTGTTTTAGAGAGATTATTTGTTATATGCAAAGAACACTGAGACTTGGGATGTTGCTTTATACAGCTAAAGGAAGGTGGGACCATAAAACATTTCTCACTAGAAGATTCTAACACATGATTGGAGCATAGGCAACAAGAGTCATGGCCAGAGTGCAATCCATAAAGGCAGGGAGCTTGAGAAATTTAAACTCTGGGGCTAAGAGAGTAGAAGTAGTCTAGGCAGTCGGTACAGGGAATGAGGCTTGGAGGGTAAAATAGATCTACCTTGAGGGACTTGGTAAGAATCTCAAAAGCCATAGCATAGAGATCTGCAACATAGGCGTGGGGATATGCGATAAGGAACCAGGCAAGGGAAGCTTCATTAATCAGATCCAGAGAAAGTGAAGGCAATATTAAGCACAGCCTAGGCAGGAAATATAAAGCTCAGAAGCTAGAATGATCTTGATGCCAAATAAAGTCTTTGAGAACAAAAGCCTAGAGCTAACCCTGTCCAGGAGGCGGGGGGGGAGGGTGGCGTTGGTGGTAAACTAGATACACAATAGGAGTAGAAAATAATCCTGTGACAGGAGCTTCTAGAAGGAGAGATGATAAAAGTAGGGAGGTAAAGAGCATGGAGCCAAACAGCATCTTGACACCGATTATTCTATTTCTCGTCCCCCAGGTCTTCACATCAACATATATTTGTATCTTCAAACTTTTCTTCAGATTCACTGGAGAAACACCCTCTAAAGATAACAAGTCAACAGTTTATTGCAGGCACACCCTTTGGTCTTGAAGAGTCTATGGAGAGGTTTTTAAAATATTTTTTAATTTTCTGTGTTTAAGAGCTCTGCCTTACACCAGCACAAACTCATTATGATCGCATCTCAGTTGTCTACATATGACATTTTAAGGGTCATATTACAAAGAGGAAGACAACCAGAAATTTATAGAACATGGCATTATGATTTTTTTATTGACAGTCTCCATGTAGATTCATTGATAGCACTTATCCTGAAAATT